CTACGACTACGACTACGACTACGACTACTACGACTTCTACCACCACTACTACTACGACGACTACTACTAGCACTGCTGGTATTTCTGCTGGTACTACCTCGACGACTGGTATGCCACATCTAGAAAATATAACGAAGAGTTGGTTCTCGGCGCAGCCGAGGCTCGAGTGGTTCAAAATTCTGGGCGTCTCCTCAAAGGATCGCATTCATATTTGAGAATGTGAAGCTCGGCAGAATGTTGACGATCCCTGATAGGGTCTCACCCGGAGAATGCATTTTTCTGCTCGCATCATCCAAATCCCATCAAGATCCAGAAGTCCACCCGGATAACCAACCCTTGCCTGGAGAGTCAGCCCTTTTCCTGGAGAACAAACGTCTCGCGCGCACTCGCATTCAGCTTAATCGCATGCATCTGCACTTACACTCTGACTCACTGGCGCTCAGAGTTGTCCACATTCAGACTCGCAAAGTGTGAGCGTGTCTAGAACGAGGCGCTGGCATCAGCACCCCAAGAGGGGGCTGCCGAGGGGTATTTCAAGGGCACCCTCGCACCCAGAACGTGTGGATGTCTCAAGCGGTTTGCCTGTTTGGTGGCTTGGACGCCGGTGATTTCACAGCATAGTGTGAGGATGTCTCGAGCGATGTGTTGGTCTCAGCACCATAAGGAGAGGGGCTCCAGAGGGTATTTCACGGGCCCGTTCGCGCCTGGACTGTCGGGACGTCTCAGTCGGATTGCTTGTTTGGCGGTTTGAACTTCGGCGCATTCAAAGCAGATTGTGAAGATGTCTCGAGCGAGGCTCTGGCTTCAAGCGGTTCGCCGGTTTCGGTGCCTCGGGCTCCTTTCTTTGGAGAGCCCCATGATGACAGTTATGTAGCAGGCATGTCCTACAGTTTTGATGTTCCAACCTATTGTAGCCTTGACCACCAGAAAGAATTTCGAACACCAGAAGAAAAGTACCGAAACTTGAGGGTTTTCACGTGTCGGGCCCTGGGAGACACTCGTCCGACGTTGTTTCGACATTCTTTCGACACTCTTTCGACACTTTTCTGGGTGCTCGAAATTATTTCTGGGATGTGGTCCTGAAGTACGATGGGAGCAACATAATCCGAAAGGGCGTTGCACGTGCCAGTTCGCGCCCGTATCGTGGGACATATCTCGGGCGAAACGCCGGTTTGGGCCCCCCCGCCCCTCTCCTCTCGGAGGTGGACAGACTTCCTACCCTGACACGTCGATTGAAGAATTGGCCGTTTTCGGTTCGTGAGAGGGCGTCGCGGCCGTCGTTTTTGCGGGTCCAGGTCCGTCGGTTTCGGTCCCAGGCCGTTTTCACGAAGGGGAGGTCTACTAAAGGGAGGTTTGTCCACCGCCGATCCTGTCATGTTATCAAGATAGCCCCGACGCGACAGGCAGGGCATTTGGGCATTCCTGGGTGGAGCCGCCAGGGTGCGCTCAGTCGCCACAGGCTACTGCTCTCTCTTTCTGTCTCTCTCTCTCTCTCTCTCTCGCTCTTTCTTTCTTTCTTTCTTTCTTTTTTTCTCTCTCTCTCTCTCTCTCTCTCTCTCTCTCTCTCAAACACTCACAAATGGGGGGTGCGCCAGGAACCGAGACGCACATTGGGGACCCCCGCGTCGGCGAAGTATCGGCATTCCATCTACCTAGAAAGATGAAGGGTGAATCCTTTACAAGTCGGGGTTTCGCCATCCGATTGGCATGTCCACCGGGCGCTCGTCCTTCATGAGAGGCGTTTGCCACAGTAAATGAATCCTTGTTGGGACTTAGGGGGAGGGGACTTGGGACGGGAGGTTGAATTGCAAAATCGTTGATGAATCCTGGGTTTACTCTGGCCCCCCTCCTCCTCCTCCTCCTCCTCCTCCTCCTCCTCCTCCTCCTCCTCCGTCGTGCCGAGCTGATTGAGGACCCTCAACAGTTCGGCAGTTACAGCTTCCAACAGTCAATCTGCCATGCGGCGCTCACGAGACACTAACCAGCGGCCCGCCGAGGGACGTGCGCTCCTCCTCCGTATCATCCGTATCAGCATCAGCATCCTCCTCCTCTTGCCGCCGGTTCTGCCCCATCATCCTTGTCCTTCTCCCTCCTCCCCCCGCCTCCTTCGTCTTCGTCCGTCTTGCTCTTCCTTCCCCAGTTTCCCCCCTGTCCCGGGCGCGTGGAAGTGCGCGGGGGAGGACGAGGAGGACGACAACAACGACGACGATGAGTTTCACATTAGTAGTTTTTTGGGTGCCTCCAGTGGACCCCTCGGCTGTATCCGATTCCAGATCCTGGACATGATTCGTTCTAGGAGAAGCCTGGAGATCTGCTTTGAGTTGGGAGGAGGGGAGGCGGGAGGAGGAGAAGGATGAGGACGAGGAGAACGAGGAGCAGGATGATGATGATGCTGATGATGATGATGATGATGATGATGGTGGTGATGGTGATGCTGATGATGATAGTGGTAATGACGAGAAGGAAGAGGGGTAGGACGACGGCAACGAAGTCGACCGTCTTGGAAGTATGTCATGTAAGGAGCTGGAATGGCCTTCAGTTGTACCTCCCTCTCCCTTGCACCCGGCCTCTAAGTCTATGCACAAATCCCCTTTGGGTGTTTTCTTGTTTGCTGACGTAGTACGCGATGCAAGTATTCAGCTGTTGGAGAGGTGCTGAAGGGAACGTATTCAGCAGTGGTCGAGCGACAGCGCCATTCCTGAGTATGCGAACACATCTGACCAGGGCGCGTTGGAGTAAACTGCGAGGAAGTATCGATCGGGAGCCGTTGTCGTCGCAGTAGGGCCTTCACCACCCCAAGCGGACTGCGAGGAAATCTCGGGCGCGAGCGTCATTCCTGAGAGCGGGGGCGACTCCAGCCCAGGGGCGTGGAAGTAAACTTCGAGGAAGTATCGAAATGGAGCCGTTGCCGTCGCAGTTGGGCCTTCACCAACTTGATTGAATTGCGGGAAGTTCTCGAACGAGAGCGCCGTTCCTGGATCGGAGGTAAATTGCGAGGAAGGAGCGAACTTGAGCCGTTGTCGCTGCAGTTGGGCCTTCAAGTGCTGGGATGTGGCATGAAGTCCGCATTCGAGCGGGAGCCTCGCTTTCACAGAACATTCAGCTAACGTCGAGGCGAGAGTGCTCGGAACCGCTGCCATAGGGCTGTAACACTTATTATCTGCAAGCGAGTGTTCGACGAAGAGCTTGACGTGTTTCGCCTTCGTCGCCACGGCTGGATCCACCTAGAGATCTTGGTCAGGACTCGCTCCAGAAGGGTCCCGGGATCGGCTCTCAAGGGGAGGGAAGGATGAGAGCGAGGATCATGACGATGATGAGGAGGAGGAAGAAGATGAGGAAGATGAAGATGAGGAGGATGAGGGGAAGAAGGAGCACCCCACGAGGGGGAACGCTCGGTCTCCTGCTCGTCACTGTCATCCTCCCCTCCGCCTCGCTCCTCCTCGCTCGGTGCCCGCTCAGGAGAGCTTGGATACCAAGAAGGAGTTCGTTGGAGGCCGGGACCTGAGGTACACGGGGACACTGAAGTTCTTCGCTCCACAGAGGGGTTTCGGCTACATCAAGATTGACCCGGGTTTCCAGTACGACAGAGAAGGTGTGTTCCTCCTCGCCATCATTATCCTCCTCCGATTCACTTCTGTCCCTTCCTCTCCTTCGCCTCCCTCCTTGACGTCATCCCTCTCTCATTACCATCAACATCAACATCATCATCTCCATTGTCGTCCTCATCATCACCACCATCATCAGCATCAGCATCATCATCATCATCCTCATCATCAACAACAACATCATCAGCATCAACATCAACATCGCCGTCCGCATCATAAACGGCAAAACATAACCAGCATCATCATCAGCAGCAGCATCAGCATGATCAGTATACTAATCATCAGCAGCAGTCGCATCCTCACAATCATCAGCACCCTCATCAGCATCAACATCAGGATCATCGGCATTATCAGCATCAGCATCGTTATCACGATCAACATCGTCAGCATCATCATCACCATCAGCAATATCATCATCATACTCATCATCACGGTCATGATCACCATACGCATCACCATCATCATCAGCAGCATCATCCTCGGCAGCAGCATCATCACACTCTTCAACATTCTCATCAACCTCAACATCAGCATGATCAGTCGTGTCCTCATCATCATCATCACCACCATCCTTATCATCAGCATCATCATCAGCAGCATCAAATTCATCTTCATCTTCATCTTTATCTTCATCTTCATCAGCATCAGCATCAGCATCATCAAAATCAGTACCCTCATCGTCATCATCGTCGTCATCATCGTCAGCATCATCATCAACAACATCGTCATCACCATCGTCATCGGCATCATTACCACCATCGTCAGCATCATCACCGTGCGCATGAGGCGTCCCCGAGGAGATCCGTGTGGAGACGCAGGAGATGAACTGCGGTGGGGGCAACCCTGGCCGATATGAGAATCTGCAGATCGAGTTCGGAATTTGGGTGACGTAGCCTTCAGAGGGGGGAGGAGGGGGAGGAGGAGGAGGAGGAGGAGGAGGAGGAGGAGGAGGAGGAGAGAAGGACGAGCAGGAAAGAGGCGATGGGGGGAGGAGGCCGCATCGACGGCACCGCGAGAGGAGGAGGAGGGGGAGGAGAGGACGGAGGAGGAGGGGAGGAGGAGGAGGAGGAGAGGAGGAGGAGGAGGAGGAGGAGGAGGAGGGGAGGAGCAGCAGCAGTAGCATCAGCAGGAAAGAACCTGCAGGTCGAGTGTGGCAGCTGGACAAGGGATGCGTAGGGGTCTCCAAAGGGCAGGAACAGGGAGGGGGCGAGAAGGATGAGAAGAGACATTAGAGGATGAGGAGGAGGATAAGGGAGGAAGGAGGAGGAGAGGGAGGAGAAGGAGGAGGAGGAGGAGGAGGAGGAGGAGAGGAGGAGGAGGAGCTGGAATTGGAGAAACAGTGGAGGGGAGAGAGGAGAGGAGGAAGGAGGAGGAGGAGAAGGAGTGGGAGGGGAGGAGGAGGAGGAGGAGGAGGAGGAGAGAGGAGGGAGGAGGAGGACGAGGAGGAGGAGCAGAGGGAAGGGGGGTGTCAGGACAGGACTCCAGTGTGATATTCTCCCTCAAAGGGTGGAAAATCCCCAGGTGGCTGGGAGTTCAAGGAGCAGCAACCATGTAGGTATCGAGACCCTGTCACATGGCGTCTGGTGCCTTGCCAAGTTTGCCCTTGGTCCTGGGAGATTGGACCCAGGTGCGGCTATACCCCCTTTTGCTGGGACCCGAGCTGGGTCAAGCTGCCACCCTAAGGGTGGGAGGGGGGATCCTCTCTTCAGCAGGGTGGCGCGACGGGCCACGTGCCTGAATCCGATGCCCTGCAGGGTAGCGGCGACGACGACCTGAGTAAGACGGCGATGGGCAACGAAGGGGCCAGGATGGGCAAGTGGGTGTCGAAAAATGAAGGAGGCTGAGACGGAGTCCTGCATCGGTGTAGCTGCTGTACGACGTCAGAGTTCTGAACATAGGGATCCATTTCTGATTGTAAAGGCCTCACGGCCGGTGCCGCTGACCCAGAAGGACGACGACGACGACGACGACGACGACGACGACGACGACGGCGGCGGCGGCGACGACGACGACGACGCTGACGCTCAGGAGCTCTTCTTGGGGCTCTCTTGGGAGCCTCCTTTGCTGGGGCCAGGGCTGGAGCCAGGGCCGAGGCCAGGGCCCAGGGCCGGGGCGGGGGCGGGGAAGGGACAAGGGGAAGGGGCTGCCCTTCGATGTCATTGCAACGTTCGTCATTCCCCTTCTTTCTTCGATTTCCCTTACGACGACGACGACGACGATTCAAAGGAAGCTGGCGCACTTCAGTTCGGGCTGGGCTGGCCTCGCGTCGAAAGGCCTCCTCACACACCCCAGGCGGGCCGGCGGATCTGACAAGGAGTCGCCCTCTGTCCATGTAGCATGCAGAAGTTTCCCAAGCAGTCGTGCGCGGCGCCAGGGCGAGGACTGCTCGTTGAAAGCTCCGTCTCCATGTGTGTAACTGCCGGGGCCGTTTGAGGCGAATGTGCACGGCGCTGTGGCGAAAGGCACGGCTCGATAAGGAGCCGCCCCCTCTCCGTGAAACGGACGAAAATTGTCAAAATGAATGCGGGCGGCGGTATGGCAGAGTCGCCGTTTGAAAAGGAACAGCCCTCTTCCCATGACAGTGTTGGACGCCTTTGGGACGAGCGCGCGCGGGACCAAAGCGGGAGCCACTTTTGAAGACCACCACCCCTCCATCCGAGTAATATTCGGAAGCGTGTGGGGCAAATGTACGCGACGACACCCTTCCCATCCGTGTCAAGCTTCGGGGTCAGAAACGGTGACGACCAGGGGAGGAAATTGGATGAAGTGAAGGAGGACGTTGCTGTAGTAGGAGAGGGAGGGGAGTATCCTGGGGAGCGGGCGGATTGAGGCTCATGTGTTTTTCCAGGAAAGCGACGAGTGGAGGAAGATAAGAATTGTAACAAGAACAAGTCCAGAGGAGGAGAGGAAGGATGAGGAGGGTGGGACTAGTAGGATGGGGGGGACAAGGTGGGGTTGGAGATGGAGGATGAGTTGGAGGAGCAGGACGAGGGTGTTGGAGGAGGAGGTTGGAGGAGCAGGAGGACGCGCAGGTGACGAAGCGGGGCGTCTTCAAGGGGTACAACGTCTGCTTGCCGGGTGGCCTGCCCCTGCCCCAGGACGATGGCACCCGCGACGAACAGGGTGGCAAGGCTCATTCTCCTCCTCCTCCTCCTCATCTGCCCTCCTCTAGGTCGGCGAGGAGGAAGAATAGGGTCGAGGACGGACGATCGGGATTAGAAGGTCGAGGAGGACGGGGAGGGAAAGGAGGATAACCATCCTCTTCCTCCTCCTCGACAATGTTATTCCTCCACCCTCCCCCTCCCCCTCATCCTCCTAATCACCCCATCGTCCTCCTCCTCCTCCTCATCATCATCCGCGAATTTCTACCACCACCACCTCCACCTTCTCTTCCTCCTCCTCCTCCTCCTCCTCCTCCTCCTCCTCCTCCTCCTCCTCCTCCTCCTCTCCTCCTCCTCCCCCCTATGCTGGGCTCCTCCTCCTCCTCCTCCTCCTCCTTCTCCTCCTCCTCCTCCTCCTCCTCCCTCTCGTCCCCCCTACTCTGGGCTCCTCCTCCTCCTCCTCCTCCTCCTCCTCCTCCTCATCCTCCTCCTCCTCCTCCTCCTCCTCCTCCTCTTCCTCCTCCTCCTCCTCCTCCTCCTCCTCCTCCATTCCTCCCCCCGACATCCATCGTTCTCTGCTAGTGTCCTCGTCCTCGGCCCTCCTCCTCTCCCCCACCGCGAGGCTGTCGCGGACGCTGACGCTGCCCCAGCCGCTTCAGCGTAGTCGGCGCCCTGCGCTCATCTCCCTCGCTGTCCTGTTGCCGGTGCTCGTCCTCCTCCCTCAGCTGAGGGCTATCGGGTCCGCGTGCGAGCACCGCGGACATTCTGCCATCGAGTGAAAAGCATGTTCTCGTCTCTTCTTCTCCTCCTATTCCAACCCTTTCCCGTCCTCGCCCACCCCGTCCTCGTCGATTCGACTCGACTCCGTAGGCATGAGTGTGTTCCACTCCGTGTTCGGGAGGCAGAAGGGAGAGAAAGGGGGCACGCATCAGCTAGCACCTGATCTCGTGTCCATGAGCCTGCAGTCATCGCCCCGTTCCCTTTGAAGATGTAGCCGAGTGAATCGAAAACGGGGGGCCATAGCAGCAAGCACTTCCCATTCTTCCCCCATCCCACCTCACAGGCCTATCCCTCTGGAGGATATCCTAAAAGAGGCTAGAGGCAAAAAGGTGGCAGAGTAAGGGAATATAGTCTTGTCTCGCCCAGTAAGCCACCTGGCGACGTCGCGTTAAATGCGGTGATGTTTGTAGGATAGTTTGTTTCGCAGTTATTCCCTCTTTCACGCTCGTTCCTCACCAACGAGCCGCGATGCATACACAAGTTTTGAAGTGGCCGCCCTGCAGTCTTCCGGGCCCACACATTTGGGCGATCACGAATTGAAGCCCATTTGCTGATCAGTTTGCCTTGCTTCTCTACGCTGCAGCCACCAGCTGGAGGACGGCCGCAAAGGCCGTCCCCGTCTGAGCGATATGGTTCCGAGAGCCTGAGGATACACAGTTTGAACATGGCACGCTATTCTGGATCGTGCAGGGACCCTGGCCCCTCCGCTCCTGCGTTCGCCTTCCCTGATTGTTGAGTTTCTGCGTGGCCGTGTCTCACGCACTGCGCTCCAGAAGGCCCCCATCAGAGCCCCAACGGGTGGCGGTCAAGGCCGCGCTCCAAGCAGAGGTGTTCATTCGAGTTCTTCAGAAGCGTCCGCAGTTGCAGGGGGTGTACGGCCGTTTCTTCACCCAGTCGGTGTTCCCTGGTAGGTTGCACCTGACGCTGGAGAACCGCGTGCGCGCCTGGCTCCCAGATCAGATCGTGGCTTCCTTTGGACCCCCGTAGCGGTCCCTCAAACCTGTAACACAGGCGTCGCACGTTTCCTTTTCCAGGCCCATCATTGAATCTCTTGCGGGAGCGGAATAGCTATCCATCGCATGCATATCCTGGGCCAGCAGGGGGGGGACTTTCAATGCGACGGAGCGCTCGACCCGATCGCCAATCACCCCACTTGTCCTCGCCTCTGGCGCCTCTTTGCATTACCTCGCTACGTCCTCCCGTCCTCCACCATTGTAGCAGATCGCGTGAGGAGACCGTCTACACGTCGGTCCTACGCGTGAGGATTGGGAGATCCCTATGGAGCACGCAGACTGGTTGCTCGCTCTCGCTTGCAAGTCTGACTATCATCCCCGCGTGCGACCGTCAGGGCGCGATCCTCCCCTCCCCCTCAACCCTCCCCTACCCCTCCTCCTGCTAGTTGTCGACCTTCTTCTCGTCCCCCTCCTCCCCATTCTTATTCATCCATCCCCTATTCCATATTTTCCCTGGCATGGATAGATGACGAGACGCGCATTTTCTCCCACCGTCGACGCCTCCAGCGATTCCGTTCCAGCCCGCTCCGTTCTTCCTCCCCCCTTTCCTTCCCCGCCTCCCCTTCCTCCACCTCGTCCTCCGCTTCATCCCCTCTCCATGCTCCCCTCTTCCGACCGGATGGCAGTCGCAACCCGTCGACGCCAGTCGCCCCTGCCGTCGCCGCCGTCGTCGTCGCCGTCGCCCCCGTCGTCGCCGTCGCCGCCGCATGCCGCATGCCGTGACAGTTGCCGTCGTCCTCATCGCTGGTCGCCCGCAGCTGTGTCCAAGGCTCAGGGGTGGCGCTCCGCTCCGCCACTCGCCTGCGCCAGGCTCGGACCGTCTTCCGCGACCCTCTCCCCCTCCCGGAAGGAGGAGGTGGGAGGACCCCAGGCGCCAGCGATCAATTTGTGGGGTGAAGAGAGGTGCCCCTCCTGTGCACCTTCGGGATCTTGAAAGGGTACCCGGGGCCCAAAAGGGGCACGAGGAGTGCACATTTCTCCCCCACATTTCTCTCCCCCCCCCCCCCCCCCCCCCCCTTGTGACGCCCCCATAACCTATCCCTGATCCTCCTGCTCATCCTCACGCTTCGCGCGCATGCTCTTCTGCCTCCTCCACCTCCTCCCTCTCTGTCATGCCGCACCTGCCTCCTCATCCGCTGCCTCTCCCTCCCGCTTCTGCTCTTCCGCCTCCTCCTCATCCTCATCCTCTTCCTCCTCCTCCTCCTCCTCCACGCCCTGCCCCGAGACTTCCTCGGCGCAGCTGCGAACGGAGCCGCCGAGCTTGCGACCCCCCACGGCGTACAGGAGGCCGCCGGCGCGCGAGAGTTTCGGGTTGTCTGGCGCTGAGGCGGTCCCTGTTGCCTCCGAGGCGGTGCAAGAGGCAAGGAGGCTGGCAGGCGAGGTCCTCCTTTCCCAGGGAGCGAATGATGAGCCTCACGCTGCTGTGCTCGAGGAGTGTTCGGAGCTCGGGCACGGAGCTGAAAAGACTGGGGGAGTGTTGTGGTGTTCGGTGTGCTCGGATTGCTGTGTCATGCCTGACGGGTCTTGTCGTGGGCTCAACGCGAGGTGCAAAGTTCGAACCACCCATCCCAGCACAATACCGTCGCATATCCTCAAGATCAAGTGTGCTGCGAGAGGGCTGAACCCCAAGATGGGCGAAGCCATCGTTTGATGTTGTCGAGGCTGGTGGGGCGGCTTGTCGAGCACGGCCCCTGGCAGGGAGGTGTGGTGCAAGGGCACCTTGATGGCAGCCACCCCCTTTCCCAGTCGCGTGTGCTGGCCTCGCTTGTCAGCGTGCTTGATGCCCGATTCGAGCGAGCGCGGGCCCCCCCATGTCTGTCGGCGGGGCTACCCCTCTTGAGTCGCGGCGCTCGCGGATCCCGCCCGCGCTCCCAGGCTGGTCGCCGTCCACGCCCTGCCCCTCGTGGTCCTCACCGTGATCTCCCAGGCCCTCCTCCCCTTCCTCGGAGGGCACCAACTATACACCAACACCGATCCTGGCCCAGGATCACCCTGGGCCAGGATCGGTGTTGGTGTATAGTTGGTGCCTTCCTAGTTCCGGGGCTTTTCCTGCGCAGGTTCCACGGGCGTCCTCGCGTAGCCCCCGCTCACGTTTAGGACAAGGTCCTGCAGAGCACCCCCGCAATGTTCTCGGGCGTCGCCGACCCGCAACGGCGCGTATCACAACGCTGCCCTCGCGGTGTGCTGCCCCTTGTCTCGCAGGTAGTGCTGTTCCAGTGTCATTTTGGCCATGCCCCTGCACCAGGTTGCTGGGGGTGGATGTTCGTGCACAACCTACAGAGCCGCGTGGGGCTGAGGTCCTGCTTCGACTCGGGCCACGCATTCAGGCAGCCGCTTTGGACAAAGGGGACCTGGCATCGCTCGGACGTGTGCGTTTGATTCTCGGCGAGGACCATCGAGGAGCCTCCTGGATCATCTTGCGAGAAGTATACGCGCGAGGCCGAAACATGCACGGGGAATGGGCGCCCGGGCGGTGGCGAGAGGGGAGGACGGCCGTAACGTGGGCGCGCCAGCCTTCCCCCGGGCAGCAAGCGGAGCCGGAGGAGGCGCGCCGCTGCTCCGTCGAGCCCTCAGCTGCCCTGACGCGCCCGTGCTGACAAGCAGCACGTGCCGTGTTCAAGACGTGTCCGTGTTGGCACGCTGCGGGTTAGATCGGCGAGTTGGCCCACGTTTTGGCGAACGTATCGCGCCAGACCTACGTGTTCGGTCTGCGTGTCGAGCTGCATGTCAAGCACGCTGCGAGCTGCGTGTTGCGTGTTGGGGCAGCTAAGTCCACAGCCTCATGGGCCCCATGAGCCAGGACTGCCATTTCCACCCAAGCATCGATTGGCGGACACCCAGCGGGTTCGGGGGGGCCCATCATCATGGCCCAGGTGGAGGTTATCTAATTCCAGACATGTTGCTGCGAGGGCTTCCCACGTACGATCGCAGCGTGCGCGATCCTCAATGAGGCTCGGGAGGCCGCGTGCAACGCGAAGCCGTTGCCCCAGCAGCAGCTGAGCTTCGCCTATAGATTAGTTCGGCTGCCCCGTGTAAGTTAGTGTCTTCAAGGAGCTGCGAACTACCATGTTGATTCCGATGATTGCCGTTCTTCACCCGCCTTGTCCACCTTCATTCCTGACGTTTTCTTTTCCGTATGCACTCCTCCTCGTCGTCATCCCCCTGCCCTGCATCATCCTTCTCCTCTTCCCACCCCTCTCCCCCCGCCCCCCACACATCCTCCCCCTGTTCCCATTTTCCTCCTCCCCCTCCTCCTCCCCTCCTTGTTCCTCCACCTCATTATCATCCTCTTCCTCACGCCAGGTCCTTTTCCTCCTCCTCCTCCTCCTCCTCCTCCTCCTCGTCGTCCTCCTCTTCTTCCTCCTCCTCCTCCTCATCCTGCTCCCCATCGTCTTCCTCCTCCTCCTCCTCCTCATCCTGCTCCCCATCGTCTTCCTCCTCATCCTCCTGTTTCTGCCCTCCCTCCTCTCGCCCGCGTCGAGCCGGGCGCGATGCTGGGCAAGCTGAGGCTGGGGCCAGGTGAGCAGGGCGGCGGGGTCAAGAGCAGGAAGGCTTGGAAGACCAAGAAGCGTCCTCTGCTCCTCCCCCCTATCCTCCTCATCCTCCTCATTCTCCTGCTCCTTCTCCTCCCCATCTTCGACGCGAGGCTCGAAGGATCGAGGATCGAGGATCAACTTTTTAAGGTTTATGGTTGTGCCTGTGCCTCCAGAGACCTCCAGGGACCTCATCTTGCTTTCCTCGTCTTCCTCGTCCCCCTCCTGACGCCGCGCTCGTGCTCGTCGCAGTGAGAGGGGATACTTGCATACATTCGTGAGAAGCGCATCTAGGACGCGAGGGCGCGTTGCAATGTCGGTGCTGTATGTTGGGCCAACTCTGGTCACCCACTCCCCCATCATCCCTCCCGGTCCTCCTCCCTCCCCTCCTCTCTCCCTCTCCCTCCCGTCCCTCCCTCCTCCCCTCCCCCTCGTCCCTCCAACCCTCCCCTCCCCGCACCGCCCTTT